GATATTTTTAGGGATAACTTCTACAAATCGATATATTTGTCAACTATCTATATAAACCTACCCTCTTAACATTTTTACACAGCTTACATTTCCTTTTACTTTGCAGAGACATACAGCTGGCCACCGGCGAGTGGATGAACGAATTCGTGCGCAGACCAAGTCGCCGAAGAGAAAGCAAGGTTTATGTGCCCCCAGCAGATGTTGTCAAGCGATCCCTCATCAAGAGGTCATGGACTATCTCAAGTGAGTGATTGACAGGCGATCATCTTGCTAGTGTCACTTCGCATGGTGGAGTAAGATTTGTATCGAGAAGAGATATTTTCATTCGAAGTCAGGAGGTATAGATATCAGATGTAAAAAAAAGAAAGACAAAGTAAACTGTAAAATGTATTTATTTGTTAATCTAAATAGAATTGGGAAGACATGTCTTGCTTGTGAAAGTTTCTTACCATTAATTTTCATTTTGTGAAAGTCAGAATTTGAAGAGTGCGTAGACGTTAGACCAATTTCGTTGAGTTTACCATCTTATGGAATCCGTTTTCTTAAAGGGACTGACTTACGAGAAGACGGGACGAGGGATCTTAAGCGATTGCCATGTAAGACCAAAGTATTTTCTTGAAACCGCTTTGATGAGTGATTTTTCTCTTGATTATGATGTAATTTTGCGCTTGTTTTACTGACTGATGAATATGCAGTCGATGTGTTGTTTTTCTGTTTAGGGGATTGTGTCTTGTGTGATGGAAACCACCTACATGAAACTGCATGATTTATGAGATGCAAGGCAACAGTTCTGATGGTGGTGTGTTGTGTCTGTTAATTGTGCTTTCTGTATTTGTGATTGCGTTTCGTTTGTGTTGTTATTTACCTTCAGTTGCGTTGTGTTTCTTCGTGTTGTTGTTACTGTTTGTCTTGATTAGAAATAGTAAAAGATGCTAATTGATGTGTTGGTTAATTATAATGCCATCTGTGTGCATCGCCTTTACATAAGATGGCAGTTCATGTGGCATGAAATTATACTGTGTATATATATCAAAGTTATTCATGGACATGCTGCACTCTGCATGCATGCAATCATGATTGGAAGATTAATTAGTTGGTATATTTTAACAATATTTTATGCTGATATCAAATAACTAGTATTTTCGTTTCGTTGTTGCTTGAGTGGAATATAGATGAAATGAAGAGTGAAAATTTATAAAATTATTAACAAAATTAAGATAAAGGCAGGTACAGTTTAGTTCTGGAAGCAACGTACTAAAAAGATATTTTGATTTATTCTTCTGTTGTTAGTTCGTTGCCCCGTTTCATTAAAACTGTGCGATGCATTTTTTTTTAATGGGAGTATGATGTCATCCTGCAGAAGAGTGCCTTGACCTAACCGCGCCGCTCCTTTCAGGTCCTCCCACTGGAGATCGCACTTCTCCTGAGCTCCGGGCACACAGCGGCCGTCCAGTGCCCACGCCCCGCAAGGCACCCCGCGGCCACTACCTCCCTGCCGACGAGAACGAGCCCCCGTGGGACGCCCCGCAGTACCCTCCTCGGGCAGCGCCGCCCAGGCGCTATAGCATGAGCAGCTTTGACGGCGTGCCTCCCTCCTCACGCCACCTGAAGGGCCCCGCTCCCGCCCCCCCGCGCGCCCACTACCACGACGCACGGGAGCCCAGCCCCCACAGCCCCTTCGGTCACCACAGCCCCCTGGGCCACCACAGCCCTCAGAGGTACTCCTCGCCCGAGTCCCCGCCGGTGCCGCAGCGTCGCCGGGTGCTCCCCGACCTCCCCCCGCACCCCGGCCCGGGGCTCCTCGCCAACCCCGAGCGGCCGTCCACGCTTCCACGCAAGCTGCGGGAGCCCAGGCACAGCAGCCGCCAGTCCCCCCCCGCGCAGCACGACCCCAACCGATTCCACTCCATGCCCCGCACCAGGACGCGGTCCCCGAGCGGGCAGGGGCGCGGGCGCTCCGAGCCCGCCCACCGGCCGCAGTCCCCTGTGTTGCCGCTCCGAGAGAATCCCGCCCTCGGAGGCTACATCAGCTCGGGGCCGGTAACTAGCACGCCCATCATGCACGACCCGGGGCTCGTGCAGCACAGACTTGGCACCCGCGAGGCGCCCCCCACGCCCGCCCCGAGAGATCTCTCACGCCCGCCCGCCCCCGGCCGCCCGCCCGAGCAAGGGACGCCCAACTCCTCCCTGCGTCGCCACCCGCACATGCCGTCCGGCGGGCCGCGGCTCGCCCGCAGCGACGCCGACCTCGGGAGTCTAGGGCGCCTGAACCGCTGCGACGTCGAGGGCGTGAGCTTGAGTCGCAGTCGGACCGAGGTGGACGCCACGCCCATCATCAATAACCGCATCCCAGCGTCGCGGGCGGACTCGGGCGTGAGCGGCTCCTCGAGGGGCGGGACGTCCGACAACAGCGACTACGACATGGACGCGAGCAACCCTTTCAGGAAGACGCCCGGGCCGCGCGGGCGCCCGGGCGGCAACCCGACCACAGTCACCTCAG